CACTGGCCAACCCTGTGGGAGGCATCTAAGGTCAGTGCCAAGGAAAATCCCCGTCCCTTCCTCCCCCCACCCACGAACTACGGGTAGAGTGACTAGCACGGTATCTTCTGTGCACTTAAATGGCTACAGCATAGTAATATCTCTGTTACTGACCAGCAAATAAAAGAAAGATGAAGAAAACAGACCTGTTTCTATGTTGTACAAGAACCAGCTGCATCCGAGTCAATGGAGACGCTTGCTAAAATGCAGATTCCTGAAGTCTACTCCTCATCAGACTCCCTAGGCAAGGGGCACTATAACTTACATCTTATAAAGTTTCCCAAATGATTCCTATAAGCAAATGCAGACATGGGGAAATGTCTGGAGACATTCTGGATTGTCTTGAATGAGGAGGGTGGCGCGAGTACATAGAGGCTAGGGGTGCTGCTTAACATTCTACAAAGCATAGATAGGACAGCCCTCCACAACAAAGGATTATCCAGCCCAAAATGTCAACTGAGGTTGAAAAACTGTTATAAACCCTAAATCAAAAAACCATTGTTCTCTGGTCTTAAAGTGACAAGGCGTTTTTAAAAACCTTCAAGGTACAACAAATGAGAATGAACAGCTCAATTCTAATTAGATGACAGAGTACAAATTATAACTTACTAGATGTTTTATTCTGACAGAAAGGGAATCTGAAAACAACTGTCAAAAAGTCTTGAAGGGGTTGCCGTTCTAAGTAATGAATTTTTAGTCCCAGTCACGAAAATGGTCAATTTTCCCATTTTTCAGTGTGAAACATCCCTCAGATGACTAAAATCTCTGTTATTTGGTACAATTCTAACAGGACAGAATAATCCAAGTGATGTCAACATTTTTTTAAATTCTCATACAAGTATGCCACAGTTTAGTTGAGAGACCACCCAATGCAGCATAAGGAGTACTCACTTGGGAGACGGAAACCTGAATTCTAATCCCAGCTCTGCTACTTAATTTAGCTGTATGCCTTGGAGAACTCGCCATTTCACCTCTCAAGGCCCCAGGTTCCTCATCTGCAAAATAAGGGAGTTATGCTAGATGATCACTTAAGAGATCATCCTGCTCTAACACTCAGCCTATGCAGTAACTCCAGTAATGCATTTACACACACACACACACACACACACACACAAAGATAATCCTCTAGACTCTTGCACAAAATTCAAGCAATTGGAATTGTGAAACACTACCATAAAAAAAAAATCCAAAGAGAGGCTGATGTATTAGACATATATTATGAGCTAGCATGCATTTGGTGAGAACAGGCACAACCTTACATGAATGATGTAAACTGCCAAAACTTTTCTGGAAAACAACTGGGCAATGGGTATGAAGATCTAAAAAGACCATACTAGAACACAGCATCTATTGTAATAACTTCCTTGCCCAGAATCTAGTCCAAGCGAGTCATCTGTAACACAGTTTCAAAAATAAAGTTAATCAAAGTATTACCTGGGATGCTAAAATGAAAGAAAAATTCACAAGCACCCTAAATGCCTCACAGCTGGGAAATGGTTGAATTATTTATGGGGCCTACACAATGACAGAATAGGTAGCCAATCAAAAGATGCGAAATTAGAAATGATATTTAGGAAGAATTTTCAAATGAAAGTGGACAACTATTTATACTGTTAATTGATAAAATAGGTAGTCTTAGCTCGGATAGAAAGTAGCACATACGAGAGTAAAATACAGAAATTATGGATGGGTCTCAGTGAGTATTACTTTCTTCACTAAACTGTGTTTTCAATTTTTCAACAGTCCTGTGTTACTAAGGCGTGGGGGGGGGGGGCACGCTAACCCACCACCAACCTTATCTGCCATCATCCTAATGCTAGACACCTTAAGCAGAAATACCCGCAAGGAGCAAGCGCACACACCTACACAACAAAAGCCCTGATGACAGGACCTAACGCCATACAACTGTGGGCGTCCGCAACCTGAGAACTCGGTAAGGTGGGCTAGTCCAAGCTCTTAATTCCTGGGGCTCAGGGGAACCACCCCGATGTAATCAGGGCAGCCCCGGAGCCCTAGGAAGCGAGGCCGGCCCGTGCAGTCGGGGCCCGCTTTCCCGCCCAGCCCGCAGGCTCAGGTCTGGGTTCCTGCGCAACTTGGACAATCACGATTGGTCTCGGAAGGCAACTCGGTGGGGCCAGGTCGCTGCCGTTCGTCCCCGCGCGGTCTAGACGCCCCTCCGGAGGGGTTCTCAGAGCCGGGGACCACAGATCTCCTGGCCTTTCCAGGAGCCGAGGAGAGCGTGAGCGCATTCTGCTGGCGCCCGGGGTCCGCGCTCCCTCCCGGCGCCTTTCAGGGGCTGCCTGGCCCAGATCCCCGCTGCTGCTCCCCAAACCCGCCCCGAGCGAGCCAACACTGGGGCCTCCAACCGCCCGTGCGGCTGCCTGGCTCACCTGGTGGCCGGGATCCAAACCCCCGCTCCAAGCGCCCCACAAGGCAGGCCTCCGCCGAAGATCCGGAGGAAATCGAAAGTGAAACTGCCGAGGCAGGTGGCACTTTTCTGCAGCAACCAAGGATTGCCTTTCCGGACTACGGCAGCCTGCGGGGACCGAAAAGGCCGGACTTTGGTGGAGCGCGCAAAGCCTGGAATCTCGTTTTGCCTAAAGGCAAAGTTGGTGCTTTGGAGGTCAAAGGAGAAAGCGCTGGTGCTTACTCTTTTAACAGAAACAGACATCCCTTAAATAAAACAAATAAACAAACAAACAAAAAACCCAAACTGGAAGTGATCTTTTAGCGGGGATTTCCTTTAGGCAGAAATGCAAGAAAGAGCTTGAAGTCATACTACACTGGAATTTGCTGCTAACGTAATGACTAAGAGAGATCCTTGAATAAGTTAATGCAAATAAATAAATAAAACAGGCAGCCTCAAATCTTCAAATCCATCTTTGGATTTTGATTAAGTGTGTGAAGATGAGGTCATTATTAGCAAGAGATTGTTTCCACGGCAACGTTGACACAAAAAGAATTAAAATCACTAAAGTAACTCCATATTATAATGGCATAAATTGCGTTCCCTTACAAACTTTAATTCTAATTGGAAATGGTGTGCAGACATTATTTAAGTGCTGCTATGGGAACTTGGTTTGGAATTTTGCATGAATTCTCAATACTCTTGCTATTAATGGAAAGGGCAAAGAAAAAGAAGAAAACTGTTATACCAACACTTGATTCCATTTTTTCTTCGCACACATACCCTCAACTTAAAACTTATACTTTAATTCTATTTGTGACTTGTAATGCTATAAACAAAGAAATAATATCTTTAAACAGATTCTTAACCCCGTTAAGTGTTATGGATCTAAGATGCAGAATTTTTTCCTAAGATAAAGATGAGTTTCCCTGCTTGGAAACCTCTCTTAGCTGAAGAAATGAACCTTTGATTGATATGGCGACAGAGAGCAACTGGGTGTGATTTGGTGGAAAAAAGAGATTTCCTTACATCCTTCCATAAAAACTTATTTTGGGTAAAAACCGAGCATTACAGATTTATTGAAAAGGCTGTATTTGAAGTTCTTGCAGTATAAAATATAATGTAAAACAATTAAGTATCATTTAAATAAAATAATTAGCTGCCAAGAACAAACATAATAGGATGTAAAGAAAGCCCTGTCCCTAAAAGCCTTCTTCACAAAAAACCTCAAATGGTACCGCATTCCTCACTGGTTGTTTCAATTATTAAAAAAAAAAAAATAGAATTTGTTAATTCATAGCCCTTTTCCCATTGCCACAGAACTCTGATGGAGTAATTTAGGCTGGCGTGGTAGGCAGGGGGCAATGAGGAGTTTTAACCGCACGGTTCATCTGCAGGGGTCGTTGCAACCTTTTTCAAGGGGCATGGATCTGTAAGGGCCCAACTAGACAAATGGGCTGGGCACCATGAATTACTTCATGAGCCAACAAGTTTATCAAAATGTAGTTGTGCCCAGAATCCCCTCGGCAGCTTAAAATTGGCTTTTATTGATTCACAAGGCAACTTTCCATGTTTCACAAGTTTTTCTTTAGCATTTTTTATTATACAAAGGAAACATGTGCAAGACTTTTTCCGAAAGTTAGTCCACCAACACTAACTTCAAGTTCTTCAAAACCCTGAACACAACCATTAATTTATGAAGGAGCCCTAAAGTCTTAAATATAATTTGACAAGATTTAGTTTAGCTTACACAGTTTAATTTAGCTTAAATGTTACAATTGATAAACCTATACTGACACATCATTATCACCCAACTACCTGTCCATAGTTTATATTAGGGTTCTCTCTTGGTGTTGTACATTCTATGGGTTTTGAGAAACTTATAATGACATGTATCTGCCATCATCGTATCATGCGAAGTATTTTCACTGCTGTAAAAATCCTCTGTGCTCTGCCTATTCATCCGTCTCTCTCCACTAACCCCTGGCAATCACCGGTCTTTTTAATGTCTCTATGGTTTCACCTTTTCCAGAATACCAAAAAGTTGGAATCATATAGTACATAGATTGGCTTTTCAGATCGGCTTCTTTCACTTAGAAATGTGCATTTAAGGGGTGCCTGGGTGGCTCAGTCCTTAAGCGTCTGCCTTCAGCTCAGGTCATGATCCCAGAGTCCTGGGATCAAGCCCCACATCGGGCTCCCTGCTCTGCCGGAAGCCTGTTTCTCCCTCTCCCTCTGCCTCTCCCCCTACGTGTGTTCTCTCTCTCTGTATCTCTGTGTCACAAATGAATAAATAAAATCTTAAAAAAAAAGAAATGTGCATTTAAGTTTTCTTCATGTCTTTTTATGGTTTGGTAACTTGATAATTTTTTTAGTGTTGGAGAATATTCCATTCTCTAGATGTACCACAGTTCATTCTCTTACTGATGGACATCTAGGTTGCTTGCAAGTTTTGGCAATTGTGAATAAAGCTGCTATAAACATCTGTGTGCAGGTTTTTGTGTGGACCTAAGTCTTTAGCTCACTTGGATAAATACCAAGAAGCACATTTGCTGAATTGTCCGATGAGAATATGTTTAGTTTTCTAAGAAACTGTCAAACTGTCTTCCAAAGTGACTGTACCATTTTGCATTCCTACCAGCAATGTCTGAGTGTCCCTGTTGCTCCACATCTGCACCAGCATTTGGTGTTGCCAGGGTTTGGGATTTTGGCCATTCTTAGAGGTATGTAGTGGAAGTTCATTGCAGTTTTAATTTGCAATTCCTTATTGACATATGACGTGAGGCATCTTTTCATATGCTTATTTGCCATCTGTATATCTTCTTTGGTGAGGTGTCTTTTCTGATCTTTTGCCCATTTTTAAATCAGATTGTTCTTTTTTATTGTTGAGGTTTTTTTTTTTTTTAAGATAAAATAAGACAAAGAGATTTTAAGATAAAATAAGACAGAGAGAGAGACACAACGAGAGAGGGAACACAAGCAGGGGGAGTGGGAGAGGAAGAAGCAGGCTTCCCGCCAAGCAGGGAGCCCGATGCGGGGCTCGATCCCAGGACCCTGGGATCATGACCTGAGCCAAAGGCAGTCGCTTAACCAACTGAGCCACCCAGGCGCCCCTTATTGTTGAGTTTAAAGAGTTCTTTGTATATTTTGCAAATACAAAGAACAAGTATGTTCTTTTGCAAATATTTTCTCCCAGTCTGTGGCCTGTCTCATTCTCTTGAGGCTATTAGTCTCAAAATAGGCAAATGTTGGTATAAAACACTAAGGTGAACGCTTGCCGCTTCGCTCTTTGTTCCAAATGTCTCTAGTCCTTTAAAAAACTATGTTCTTCAGTGTTTCATGGTCATAAGAGAAGGTATCGTGTCTAGCTTATTTTATAGCACTGTGAATTTCACAGCACTGTGAATATGTGGGTAATTGTATTATGTTGATGCTGATATGATAGATATAAATATGGAATTGGATTGGCCAACAGTTTCCAAAGCAGATTTGAGTACCTAATCAGTGTTATGCTTCTAAGAATCCTGGCTGGTCTTGTTCCAGCAATGCATTACCTGGTATGAAGTGCTGGCATGCCCTTGGGTCTATCCTGGACATTCAGACTGGACAATAAAAACACCTAACCTGTCACATCCTAGTTTGGGGTATTTGGACCACTATTATCTACCTTTTATCACGGGATGTGAAAATTATTTGTTAAAGAAGATGAGAAGAAAGACATTCTATAGTTGTTGAAGTTCTTCTCCCCCCCTTCTTCCCCCTCCTCCCCCTCCTTCTTCTTTTTTACAATGTAGTCTTTCAAACATCCCACTTTTATGCAGGGGTCTCAATTCCAATTCTCTACCTCAAATGGAGCCAATGCCTTGTCTCTTGGGCTCATGGGCATAAAAACTGTCACTCACTTCCATTCTTCCTTCTAAAACAATTCAAACTTTATCATCTTCTGGGTTTTTGGGACAGCCCTAAACCTGGCCTCATCATTTGGAGCCCAGTCCCATTTTCTTCACCGGGGCCAACTCCTAGGTTTGCTTAGGTCTTAGCTCATGCATCAATTCCATAAAGAAAGCCTTTGATAATCCCTCAGACTAGATTGGGTTCCTCCTCTTGCTCATGATCATAGTACACTGTACTTCTTCTTTGTACCACTTGTACACGCTGTAATTAAATAACTTTGTGTGTCTCTGTGTGTGTATGCTTGTTTGTTTCCTACCTCAATAAACTGTCTGTTCTATGAGAGTGGGACCAATGTCTCTACTCTTCAGCACTATACTGTTATATCTTCTGAGAAGGAATTGACTGATGGACAGATTTCTCAGGAAAGGCCATGTGCCTCTTATTGGTATCAAAAGATAAGATATATTCTACATCATGGGCACTTGGTTTCAGATTAATGCTTGAGATGTTTAAATACATGTTCAGACTTCACTGACCATCATTTTGAATTTCACAAGAGATGGGCTTATGGTCTGAATTCCTGTGAGGGGAGTCTTCCAAATGCCCTGATGCTTTATGCTCCACTGTGAACTCTAGAAAACCTCTCTCAGCTGTAAAATTCAGGGAAATCGGTGTGATGCTGCCCTTGTATTTTAATCAAGATGAACTTGAAAGGTGAACGTTATAAGTAGGAGAAATTATTTATAATTTGGTAATAAAAGTTTATGTCTAACACTCCAAATTTCATACATCTGCTATGTGCTGGCCCTGAGATATAAAACAATTGAAGTTGCCTTTACATTTGGCCTTATATGAAAGGTCATAAATTAGAATGATAGCATTCGTCCTCTTTTCTAGCTCACAAAATTTCCATATTAACATCTTCACCTCAGACATAAATGGTTACCCAGCTACAAAGAAAAGAGTTGTGTTGGCCTTTATGAATTATAGTTTATGTTGGAAATCTGTGGTACATAAGGCTGCTATTCATCTTGCCACAGAGTGCATCTACTTTAATGAAGCTAATTCGACCCCAGTGAAACTAATTAAAACTGTATGGCCAGCTCAAATAAATAAAGTACAGTATATAAAAATTTAGGAATATTTTAGATATCAGCAAACAATTTCCAAGGCATGTGGTTCTTTT